CAGGTAGAATATTATTCCCACTTTATTCTTGTCAAGATTGTTTTCTCTCTGCTGGCTCTTTTGCATTTCTTTATTTATTTTAGAATAAGCTTGTCTATGTCTACAAATAACTTGAGTGGATTTTGATTAGAATTCAAATAAGTGGAGTTTCAGAAGGAGAAAAGAGAGGAGTAGAACTCATCAAAGAAATAATTTAACGTATAATAAGTCTACAGGAGCCCTGGTGGTGCTGTAGGCTAGATATTGAACTGCTAACCACAAGGTGAGTAGTTCAAACTCACCAGCTGCTCTGTGGGAGAAAGATGAGACTTCCTGCTCCCGTAAAGATTAACAGCCTTGAAAAGCCTATATAGCTTCCTATGAGTGAAAATCATCAACTCGATGGCAGTGGGTTTGTAATAAACCTGCTATGGCATGTAAGATGAGCACTAGAGTGCTAACCACAAAGTTGGTGATTCAAATCCACCAACCACTCCTTGGAAACCCTGTACAAGGTTGCTTTGAGTTGGAACTGACTCGATGGCATTTAATAACAAAAACAATTTAGGGATTTTTGACTTCTTTCCTATGTTGATTGAGTCTCTCAGTCCGTACGCTCAGTACATTTTTTAATTTATTATGTCTTTGATTTCTTTTATCAGCATTTCATAATTTTAACATGCATATTTTGTGCATGCTTTGTTCAGTGTACAGCTGAGTATTTCATTTTCTCTAAAGCAATTTTAATGGTATTTTATTTTAAATTCTGTTTGTGCTTGCTCTTTAGTAGTATATAGTATATGCAGTTGGCATATGTGGGTTGCTGTTTTATTCTAAATTCACTTACTTGGTGATCTTGCAGAACTCACTTTTCTGTCGATTCCCTGGGATTTTCTACATAGACAGTTATGCCATCTGTGAGCACAGTTAGTTTGATTTATTCATTTTCCATTTCTATGCCTTTTTTGGGTTGTTTTTGTTTTTGATTTATTTTTTTATTTGTTTGGTTTTCTGAGTCTTTAACTCTGCCTCAGGTTTGTGCATATCCTCTTGATGGTCAGCATCTTTATCTTTAGAGTATGTCTTGATGAAATCTCTTCTAGAGAACCATCTGTAGTCTCCAGGGTGGATTGATTGGCTTCCTTGGCCTGCTGTACAGTGTTGTTTGGAATGTGTCTTCTCTCTTGTCTTGGGAGGTACCTTTTAGCCTTTGTCTAGTTTTGGTTTCTCTTTCTTTTTTGGTACCTCGCCCAGTAACTGTGCTGGAACACATCTTTCTTAGTTTCCTAAGAAAGAGTGCATGGAATGTAATTTTGTTGGTAACTTGCATGTCTGAGTATAGTATGGGTTTTTAAGTCTGTCTGCATGCTGAGGTGTTTATTTACCTCACAGTAAAATTCTAGGTTGGAAATAGGTTCCCCTTATGGTTTTGAAACCATTACTTTGTTGTCTTATAGCTTTCAGTTTTGAAGTGGTACCATTTTGATTCTTTATATGAAACCTATTTTATTTTGTTCCCCAGCAGTTCGAAACTACCAGCCGCTCCGCGGGAGAAAGATGAGGCTTTCTACTCCCGTAAAGATTTACACCCT